TATATATATATATATATATATATATATATATCCAAAAGTCCTAAGGTATAAAACGATGCTTTTAGTACATTTATCATTGATAGCGGTGGTGGAAAGAAACTACTTGCAAGGTAAACTTGTTGTACTATTTAATAACTAACATTTAAATAAAACACTTTGGAATTGCAGACTAAACATTAAAAACTGCTGTTAGTCGCAGTGTAAATTTATTTAATTCGTTAATCTTGTATATTCTTATAAGATGGCTCAGCGGTAAGCTTCAGCACTTATAACGCTTAAATTTGGAGTTTGATCCACACGGCGCAGATAGCCCAATGTATAGCTTTGCGCTGAAGCAAACAAACACATCTAAAAAGCTACAGTTGGCTAAATGTACCCAGTTTTGTCTGAATAATCTACACGTTCCTATAAAAATCATTAAGTAGAGTATTGGGTGAATTAAATCACGTAGGTTAATGAAAAGATGTATAAGATAAATATCGGATACAACAACTGGTTGTTTTTGCAGTGAACTAGATGTTAAGTGTAAAGTACATGAATGAAATTATTAGGTAGCGTTCATCATGATGAACTTAAAGGATTTTTATGGTATATGAACATCGATGGTAGATTGTTATATTAGGCCAAAGGATCGCGGTAAAGTGTAATGGATCAAACTAAATTAGAGGATTGTAGTATAAAACCTGAATGGTAGGTTGTAGTGGATCAAGATAAACTAGAGGATTGTGTTATAAAACCTGAATGGTAGGTTGTAGTGGATCAAGATAAACTAGAGGATTGTGTTATAAAACCTGTATGGTAGGTTGTAGTGGATCAAGATAAACTAGAGGATTGTAGTATTAAACGTGTATGGTAGGTTGTAGTGGATCAAGATAAACTAGAGGATTGTAGTATTAAACATGTATGGTAGGTTGTAGTGGATCAAGATAAACTAGTGGATTGTCGTATTAAACATGTATGGTAGGTTGTAGTGGATCAAGATAAACTAGAGGATTGTGGTATTAAACA